TCAAAATAGCCCCAAAGCAAAACATCCCAGCCTGTTATTTAGCTCTTTAATAGCCTCTTTTGCTGTTTTTTTTTCCCTTTAATATAATTTTAACTCCGTCCCAGGCTGGAAATAATTATATAGTGGGGAAAAGACTTTTTTTCCCTTCTTTTTTGTTAATAATTTTGGCGTTGGTGTTTTGCAGCTTTATAATTCACCTTCTAAGCAGAGAAAAGGGGAAAAAATACAAAAAAACCATAAAATCTCTGCTAGGTTATAAATAACAGTGGCCAAATAAATCAGGCTCCAAAGCAAACAGGGAGAGCTGCGGGATGGGGCTCCATCCCAGCGGGTTCATGTGGGGATCCCGATGTGGAGCATCCTTCCCACAGATTGGGGAAAAAAAATATTCAAAAAGCCAAATCCCTGGTGAAAATGGTTATTTTTGTCCTGGATTTTAATTAATAGGAAGATATTCAGAGTTATTTTGAGCAAGGTGAAATTCCTCGGGTGTTTTTGCCCACAACTCCAGGGCTTTCCTGGACATCCCGCTCCGCCCCTTCGGGGTCTTCCCCCATTAAACCCCAGCTGGAGGGGGAGATTTAAAATAATTTAAAATTATTTAAAACTAAATTTCCACCCCTCTTTTGCAGGTCATCCTGGGTGGCGGGCGGAAATATATGTACCCCAAAAACATCAGTGATGTGGAATATCCCCACGAGGAGAAGCAGCGGGGCACCCGCCTGGACGGCAGGAACCTCGTCCAGGCGTGGCGGGAGGCCAAGCCCCGCGGCAAGGTGACTCTGGGGGGTGGCTGTGCACACACATCACCCCCCTGTAACCCTGCAGAGTCATTCCTGGGGGTAGAATATCTTGGGGAGCGTCTCAGGGATGGCAGAAGCAATGGAGAGGTGACAATCCCTGTTCCCTGTCCCCAGGTTGCCGAGTACGTGTGGCACCGGCGAGGGCTGCTGGCACTCAACCTCAGCCGCGTCGACTTCCTGCTGGGTGAGTCCATCAGCTCACCATCACCTGGGTGCTTTAGGGGGACCCCTGTCCTGTCCTGGGCTGCTGGGGCAGCTGCAGTGGCCAGTTATCCTTGAAGGGTGCTGCTGCCTCCAAGGAATGGGGGTGCCCTGTCCTGGACATGCTGGTAGCCCCCAAAGATGGTTCTATTCCCTTGGGGATGCTGGTACCCCCCAAATGATCCTGTTGCCTCTCTGGGGATGCTGAGACCCCAAAGAGATGCTGTTACACCCCAAAGGGTGGTGTTCCTGCTGCCCCCAGGGATGCTGGTACCTCCCAGAGGCTGCAATTTCCCTGGAAATGCTAGTGCCCCACCCTGGGGACACTGGTGTGCCCTCAAGGATGTGCTGCCCACCAAGGACAATGCTACACTCCCAAGGATGCTGCTGCTCCCACCCTGGGACACATCTCCCTCCTCGGGATGCAGTTCTTTTGTCAGCAGCGAAATTCCCATCCCAACTGGAATGTGGAATCCAGCGGGGCAGGAGGAAGGAAGGGCTGGGATTGTCCGGTTTCTATCTAATCTTCCTGGATCCAGTGGTGTGTGAAACACTTGAGTCAGCACAAGGAGCAGGATTTGGCCCCCCTTTTTCTTTTGGTGGAAAAGGATGTCTCCAGCAGTGTCCCTGTCCCCAGGCCTCTTTGAGCCAGGGGACATGATGTACGAGCTGGACAGGAACAACGATACAGACCCGTCCCTCAGCGAGATGGTGTCCGTGGCCATCAGGATGCTCCAGAAAAATCCACGAGGGTTCTTCCTCCTGGTTGAAGGTGGGAGTTTCATGGGGATGCAGAAATGTGGCATAAAAGGTGGCAAGGGGGGTGAAAAAAGGGGGGATTCGATAAAGAGGGGTGCAAAAGGAGAATAAAAGGGGTGATGGGGATAAAGAAAGGGGAGGAAAAAAGGGAGTGAGGGGGTGCAAAAGAGGATACAAAAAGTTGGGGAATTGAATAAAGGGAAGGTACAAAAAGTGAGGATGGGAAGGTGGAAAAGGATGATAAAGGGGGATGATGGAAGAACAAGAACGGGGATTAAAGGTGATGGTGTAAAAAGGGAGGATAATGGGGAGATAGAGTGCAAAAAAAGGGGATGACAGGGAGGAAGGATAAAGGGGTAGTAGGGGATACACAAATGACAGATAAAGGGGATATGAGGGTATGCAAAAAGAGGGGTAACAAGGGCAATGAAGGTGCAAAAAAGGGAGGGATAAAAGGGGTGAAGGTGGAGTGCTAAAATGAGTAAAGGGTAGGGGGATGAAAAGGAGGCATAAAGGGGCTGATGGGGGTGCAAAAGCGAGGATGTGGGATGTAAAAAGGGGGGGATAAATGGGGTGATGGGGGGACGCAGAAAGGGAAGAAAGGGGGTGGCAAGGCTGGGAGGAGGAGGGCAATGCCGAGCGGTGCCGGGTTCCGCAGGCGGCCGCATCGACCACGGGCACCACGAGGGGAAGGCAAAGCAGGCGCTGCACGAGGCGGTGGAGCTGGACAGGGCCATCGGGCTGGCCACGCGCCTCACCTCCACCCAGGACACGCTCAGCGTCGTCACCGCCGACCACTCGCACGTCTTCACCTTCGGCGGCTACACGCCCCGCGGGAACCCCATCTTTGGTGAGCCCTGCTGGGGGACACCCTGGGGACAGCTCGGGGACACCGTGGGGGATTCCGTCCTGCTGACTGTGCCGCACCGCCAGGTCTGGCCCCGATGCAGAGCGACGTGGACCGCAAACCCTTCACCTCCATCCTCTACGGCAACGGCCCTGGCTATAAAATCGTGGCGGGCGAGCGAGAAAACGTCTCTGCCGTGGATTTTGGTGCGTATGTTTCGGGTCAAAACCCCTTAAAATCACCCTAACTTGGCTAAAAGGAGCTGGGTTCTTAAACGGTTCTCACTTCTGCTGTTTGCCCCCAGCACACGCCGACTACCAGGCGCAGTCGGCCGTGCCGCTGCGGCAGGAGACCCACGGCGGCGAGGACGTGGCCGTGTTCGCCCGCGGGCCCATGGCCCACCTGCTGCACGGGGTCCACGAGCAGAACTACATCCCCCACGCCATGGCTTACGCCGCCTGCATCGGCTCCAACCGAGGCCACTGCAACGCCGCCGCCCGCCCCGCCACCCCCCTGCTCCTGCCCTTCCTCGGCCTCCTCCTCCTCCTCTGCTAAAGTGCCTCTTGCAAATCACTGAGGGGGATTTATTTTTAATTCATCCCCCCTTTTTATTTTTCTGTGGACAGCAGCGCCCGGGAAAGAGGAGAGAGAGAACAGAGAGACTCAGCGGAGCAAAAGCAGCCGCCGGTGGTTTGGTGCTGGGAGCTGCCTCTGTAAATACATGGTTCCTTCCCTATAATTAGCAGCGTTCCCTGGCCTATCCCAAACCCACCGCGGGATTTGGGATGGCAGCTGGAGCCTCGGCGGATAAAACCCCCTCTTTGAGTGAAACGCGATGGGGCTGGGTCCCAAAATGCCTCTGCGGTCCCTTGGCTGAGGACTGACCCTGGTGCCCAACTCGTCACATGCGTGGGGAGCCAGGGACCACACGAAGATGGGAAAAAAAATTAACTCATTGGGTTAATTTGTCCCTAAACTTGGGTTTTGTTGTCTCCTCAGTGATTTATTTTGTTTTAAAATTCTTCGGGTTAAAGCAATTTGCTACCCCGGGAGGGATTTGGGAGGGGTTGGGGCTGGGGTTGTGGAAGGGGGGTAAGGGCAGCAAAGCGGGATGTGAGGGGTGGGACGCCCTGGGACACGCCCTCTTCTTTAGGGTGAGGTAATTAGGGGGATAATTAGTAGGTGGGGTCACAAGGGGAAAGAGCTTGCTCAGCTGGAGGGATGCTGGGAGCGACACTGGGTGGGCAAAGGGTGCTGGGAGCCAGCAAATGTCACTGTGCTTGTGCCAATGTCACCGTGCGTGTGGGTCCGGTGCCTTGCACATGCAAGTGTCACCGTGCCAATGCCACTGTGCGCCTGCAGACACTGCCTGAGCTGAGCAAAAGGTGCCCTGTGTGTGCAAATGTCACCGAGATGTCACGGCGAGTAGTGCCTTGCACACGTGGAGCTGTCACTGTGCCTGAATTCCCTGTGCCATGTGCAAGAGGCACTGTGCATGTGTGACTGTCACTGTGAGTGGCACACCGTGAAAATGTGCTGTGCAAACACGTGCCCAAGTCCCTGTGCGTGTGCAAATGACCCCTGGCATGTGCAGAAGCCCCACGGTGCCCCTGAGCTCCTGTGCTTGTGCAGATGGCTGGGAAAACACTGCCCTGCCTCCCCCAAATCCCCCCCAAGCCCCCTAAACCCCTCCCTCATTTTTCATTCATTCACCAGTTTTATAATTAAAGGTCTAGCTCCTCATTAACTAGGATCCTCCAGAGCGGTGCAGGCTCTGACCCCAGCAGGGCTGGATTTGGGGGGCTCTGAGCCTGGCAGGGCTGGATTTGGGGAGCTCTGAGCCTAGCAGAGCTGGATTTGGGGGGCTCACCCTGGCAGGGCAGGATCTGGGGGGCTCTGAGCCTGGCAGGGCTGGATTTGGGGGGCCCTGACCCCCCTTTGCCCCCCCAGCGGTGCCGACATCGCCGGATCCCGAGCGAGGCCAGCTGCTGGCACTTCCCAGAAGTCGGGCAGCCCGGGCTATGTTTAACCACTCCCGGGGTGCCGCGTGGTTTTTGGGGGTTCAGGGGGGTGGGAACCACTTTCCCTTGGCCAGGGGGTTGGCAGGACGCCGGTGGCCACGGGGCCGTGGCCAAATGCCACTCCTGACGCCGGGCTGACCAGCAGAGCTGACAGAGGCACTCTGGGGGGGCTGAGGGCACCGCCTGCCATATTTTGGGGTACTTGCAGCACCCCAAAAATAGGGACCATCAAAGAAAGGCTTTGCTCGGCCTGGCTGCTGTGAAACCCCAACACTTGGCTAAATGTCTCCCCAAAATTAGTGTTTTTACAGCCCCCACTGATGTTTGGAGTTTTGGGGACCCCCTAGATATTGGAGACCACCCCCACTGTAGCGATAAATAAACCTTTATTTTATACAGGACTCACGGGAAACACAAACACAGTTTGGGAGGGTGTGAAAAAATATTCCTCCCCCTCCCCCCAGTTCCAGCCTCCAGCACATTCCGGAACTTTTGTCCCTTAAAATAAAGGGGGGGAGAGGGAGCTCCACTTTGGGGTTACCCTGGATTTGAGTCCCCTCTTTTTTTTTCGGGGAGGGGATGATGCTGGGGTTGGACCCACTCTTTGTTTTGGGGTCACGGCAGAGGGGAGGCCCCTTTGTGGTGCATCACCCCCTCACCCAAAGGGTTTTTGGGGTGACAGAGATTGTCTGGAGGGGGGCACATCCCAATTTTTTTGGGGTGGTCCCCCCAAATCCTGCACCGGGGACGATGGCTTCAGCTCCTGGCACGGGGGTGGCACACAGAGGGGGATGAAGCAGTGACACCCCCGCAGGTGGGGGGGTGACTATGAACCCTGTGCGAGGGACATCAGTGGGGTCACCCCAGTGTGGGCACCCCCATACTACACGGGTGGAGGGGGGCAGCCTCACCGGGTTATGGGGGGGCTGTTCCAGCTGGATTTTGATCTCAGGGCAGGAGGGGTCAGGCGGGCGGCGGCCTGGGGCAAACGGGGGGATCGTGAGCACCCCGAGGGGTCCCCCAGCCCCGCGGTGCCCCGAGCCGGGGGTGCTGGGCTACCTGGGGGGGTCCCGGGGGGGTCATCCGGCCAGGGGGTGTCAGTGAAGGCGTCGCGGTGGCTCCCCGAGGGCGAGCGGCTCTCCTGAGGGGGCGGGGGGGGTCAGAGGGGTGCTGCCCCCCCCAAACTGCCCCCCCGGACCCCCCCCGGGCTCCCCGTACCCGTCCCGGCTCGCCGGGCTCCTCCGCGGCGCTGCCGAAGCTGCTGGCGCTGGAGGAGGAGCGGGAGAAATCCGGCGGCTCCGGCTTCTCGGCCCTGCCAGGGACAGTCCCCAAGGCCAGGGACAGTCCCCAAGGCCACAACAGGCTGGCACCGCGCCTCGTGGCCACCACCGTGGCCCGCTGCGATGCTGTGCTGGCCCCGGGACGCCCTGTCCCCACACCACCCCGTCCGGGACATTGGATCCTCATGTCACCCTAGCGCCAGCATGTCCCATCCCCGTGCCACCCTGTCCCCACCCCATCCCATCCCTGGGAGGTCCCAGCCCTGTGCCACCCTGTCCCCGCCCCATCCCATCCCTGGGAGGCCCCAGCCCCATGCAATCCTGTCCCCATGTCTCTTGTCATCATACCAACCTATCTCCGTGCCATGTGTCCCTGTGCCACCCACCTTCATGCCAACCTGCATCCAAGCCACCCAAGTGCCAGCCCACAGCCCCCTGCCGCCCCGTCCCTGGGGCACACAGACCCGGTGCCACTCAGCCGCTGGGTGAACCCGTCCCTGTGCCACCCTGTCCCTCTGGTGTCTTGTTCCCATGCTGCCCTGTGCCAGCCATCCTGGTGCCACCTTGTCCCTGTGCCACCCCACCCCGCGGTCACTCTGGCCCACTGCGTTTCTTTGCTGTCCCATCCCTCCGGTCCCTGTGTCGCCTTCACATCGCCCTGTCCCGGTGCCCATCCCTGTGCCACCCCATCTTGGTGCCACCCTGTCCCTGAGCTGCACCATCCCAGTGTCCTCCAGTCCCCACGTCACCTGGTCCTGGAGTCACCCCATACCGGTGCCACCCTGTCCCGTTGCCACAGCATCCCAGTGTCCCTCAGTTCCCAAACACTCCCACCCCAGTGCCCTCCTGTCCCCGTGTCCCTGATCCCGGTGCCAGCTGCGGGACCTGTCGGGGTTCCGGCGGCTCTCGGGGGAGCTGTGTGTGGAGCTGGAGCCGTCGGCGGCTGCGGGGCCGTCCCTGCGGGGAGGAGACGGCAGTGAGGCGACATCGGGAGGTGACATCGGGAGGGGACAGCGGCGGTGCCGGTACCGGCGCTCACCTGCCGGCCGGCGCCTCCTGGATGCTCTCGATGCCGATGGCGCTGGAGCGGCGGGAGCCGAGGGGGCCGGGCCGCCGCCGGGACGGGCTCTTCCCGGGCACCAGCAGCGCCTGCGGGGCGCCGTTAACCGGGGGGACACCGGGGACCGGGGGGATGCCGAGGGGGGACAGAGAGGGACCCACCTCTTCCACCGAGCCCAGCCCGATGGCGCTGCCGCGGCGTCCCCGGCGGCTCCCGGGCACCAGCAGCGACTGGGGGCGGCAGCGCGTCACCCACCGGGGACCACGGGGCGCGGGGAACCGGGCACCGGGAGGGGGACCGGACACCGGGGAGGGAACCGAGTATTGGGAGGGGAACCGGGCACCGGGAGGGGAACCGGGCACCGGGAGGGGGACCGGACACCGGGAGGGGAACTGGGCACCGGGAGGGGGACCGGACACCGGGAGGGGGACCGGACACCGGGGAGGGAACGGGGTACTGGGGGGATCGCACTCAGGGGGGGAATCAGGTACCGGGAGGGGAACCAGGTACCGGGAGGAAAACCGAGTACCGGCGGGATCGGGCTCCGGGGCGGGGCGGAGCCAAGGGCAAGATGGGAGTGGCTTAAAACAAGGGGCGGGGCTTAATACGCGGGGCGCGGTCCGCAACCTGGGCGGGGCTCATGCCGATGCTGGGGGCGTGGCCTCAATGGGTGTGGTTCGCGATGAAAGGGGCGGGGCTTGCGGCTACGGGGCCTGTCCGGTCCGTGGGGGCGGGGCCTGTTATGGGCGTGGCCTCAGCCGCGCTCCTGCAGATCGGCTGCGCGCGCAGGGGGCGGGGCCAAGGCCCGGGGAGCTTTCACAGCAAAGAGGCGTGGTCAACATGGGGGCGTGGCCAGTGCCGAAAGGGCGTGTCCTGGGTGGGGTCTCACGGGCGGGCCCGGGGACGGGACCCGGGGACAGGACCCTGTCCCGCGGTGCTGCGTGCGGGGTGTGGGGGGTGCGGGACCCCCGCGCCCCACCTTGAAGGACTCGAAGAAGCCCGGGGCGGCGCCGCCGTTGTCGGGGCGCTCGTCGTCGGGGCCGAGCCCCAGCATGGCCTGGCTGCGCGCCTGCAGCTCCTCGTGCAGCGTCTCCAGCAGCGCCGCCCGCGTCCGCTCCTGCGAACCAGCCCGCACTGCTGCGCCCACGCGAGACCACCCAGCCCGCAACCAGCCCGCAGCCACCCCCGCAACCAGCGCCGCACCCAGCCCCGTACCCACCCCCGCACCCAGCCCCGCACGGCTGCGCCGTGCCAGACACCCACCCCCGCACCACAGAGCCGCCACCCACGCAGAACCAGCCCCCGCCCCGCTGCACCCACGCGAGCTCATCCCCCGCACACGGCTGCGCCCACGCCAGGCACCCACACCCCAGCGCAGCGCTGCGCCCAGGCGGGGCCGCCCCTCGCAGCCCCCTCCCCACCGCGCTGCTGCCCCCCACGTGAGACGCCCGCTACCCCGGGAACCACCCCAGACGGGCACCCAGCCCCTGCCCACCCACGCGCAGCCCCCACGGTGTGTGCGGGTCCCACAGTGGGCACGGCACCCACGGCACCCACGTGTTGCCTGACGGGTTGCCCAGCCCCTCTGGGTGCCCCCCAGCACGCCGTGCCCGCAGCCCCGTGCCCGCACCTCCAGCTTGGCGAACTTCTCGGCGCGGTAGCAGGCGTACTCGGCGTTGATGAGCTTGGTCAGCAGGAACTCCTGGAACTCGGGGCCCTGCGGGTGGGGGCAGCCCGGGTGGGTGCGTGGCGGGTGGGTGTCCCCAGGGGCTCCCCGGCGGCACCCACGGGCGCTCACCTTCCTGAAGACGGCGGGGTCGGGCAGCGGCGGGCCGAAGAAGGGCACGTCGTCACGGGCGGTGACGGAGACCTGTGGCGGGTAGGGGGGTGACGGGGCACCTCGCGGGCCCCCACGGGCACGGGGACACTGAGGCACGGGAGGCTACCTTGTAGAGGGTGCCCTGGGTGCCCCCCTGCTCCAGCTGCACCACCACGAAGGCGTGGAGGAAGTTGGAGGCGATCATGTCGGGGACGAACGGTGTGTTCTCGTCCTGGAAGACGATGGCCACGATGTCGTTGCCGATGTGACGCTTCCGCTGCAGCTGTGGGGACAGGTGGGGTGCAGACGGACACGGGGGGACACAGGGGATAGGGTGGGACACAGCAGGACACGAGGTGGTCACACCAGGACATCAAAAGGAATGAAAGCCCCTGTGGCCCAGAGATGCACTCCAGCCCCCATGGGTGCTCCACCAGCCCCCTGCATCCCACAGCTCCCCCCTGGCACCCATGGGTGCCTTAACAGCCCTCTGCATCCCAAAGATGTTTTTCCACACCCATGAGTGCTCTGCCATCTCCTGGGCCCCACAGATGGCCACCACCACCTATGGGTGACCCAGGAGTCCCCTCCATTCCATGGGACATCCCCAAAGCCCCCACAGCCCTTCCACCCCATAGAAGTGCCCCAGGACCACCTCCCACCCCCTGCTCTCAAGCACCCAAGTGTCCCCCCCATCCTTTCACCCCCCAGCCCCCATGGGTGCCCACCTGCTGGGCATCCCCCTCGGTGTAGGGCAGTTTGGTGGAGACGTGGAACATGATCTCCTTGTCACGGAAGTGGCAATAGACCGACTCGCTGCCTGTCTGTCCGTGGGTCACATCCAGCCCCCCTCGGAACCTGCGTGGGTGGGTGGGTGAGACAGGCACCCTGACCCCGAGGGGCCTTCCCCCTCCCCCAGCATCCCCTCACGCACCCCTTGAAGTCCCGCAGCTGCACCCGCTGACCCAGAACCTCAAGGAACTCGGCGAAGGCCGGGCTCTCCTCCGTGGTGCCGAAAAGCTCCTCCTCGGAGGTCTGCAGTGGGGTGGGGATGGGTGCCAGCACCCACCCAGGGACTCCCCCCACCCTAACCCCACCCACCGCACCCCATACCTGCCCCAGTTTTTGGTAGATGACCCCAAATTTGAAGTGGTTGCTCAGCACGTGCTCATCAAAGGCGAGGATGAGGCGGGATGCCTGCGGGGTGGGGAGGGGTCAGAAGCTGGGGAGGGGCACCCACAGGCGCCCAGGTGTCCCCTCCCTGCAGCCCGTTCACCTTGGGATAGAGCACGGGGTAGAAGCGATCCACGTTGACATCCTCGCACACCAGCTGTGGGAAGGAGGGGTGCTGCCTTGGGGGCCTGGGGCTGGGGGCACCCACGGGTGCTGCTTGGATTGGGGGGGGGGCGCACCCACCTTGGCCATCTGCACCACGTTGGGGAACTCGGCCAGGCAGGAGATGGGCACCACGTCATGCAGGGTGCGGGCACGGGTGCTGCGGAGCGAGGAGGGGGTCAGGGGAGCCCCCAGGGCAGGCAGCTCCCGTGGGTGCCTCCCGCAGCCCGCTCACCGCAGCAGCAGGTGGAGGTGCTCCTGCTCGTCGTACTTGACCGAGAACACGAGGTGGCCCAGCGCCGGGTCCAGGGAGTAGTAGTTGAAGTGCTCCTGTGGGAAGGAGCAGAGCAGCTGTGGCTGAGGGCGCTCATGCTGGGGGCACTTGTGACATGGGACACCCGTGTCCATGAGCACCCACATCCATGGGACACCTGTGTCTATGAGCACCCATGGGACACCCGTGTCCATGAGCACCCACATCCATGGGACACCTGTGTCTATGAGCACCCATGGGACACCTTTGTCCGCAGGATACCCAGGCCCATAAGCACCCATTCCCATGGAGCACCTGTGTCCATGAGCACCTGTACCCGCAGGTACCACCTATGGGGCACCTTCACTCAGAGAGCCTCACACCCCTTGGGGCACCCAGGTCCTATGGACACACAAACTTATGGAGTCCCCATGTCCATGCAAACCTGTGAAGAACCCACGTCCATGGGCACCCGTGCCAGAGGCTCTCCTGCCCATGGGGACCCAACACCCACCTCCTTACCACCCACCCCATGGAGCACCCATGTCCACAAGCAGCCACATGCCAAAGCACCTGTGTTTATGAGGTCTCCATGTCCTTCATTCCCATGGAGAGCCCACCCCAAGCACCGCTGCCATGCCCATGGATACCCACACCCATGAGCCCCCATGTCCATGGCCCATGGAGCTCCCATCCCCATGGACACCACACCCATGTCCAGGAACACCCGAGCTTATGTGGTCTCCAAGCTCCTGCCCATCCACACCCACGGGACATCCCCCGCCCCAGACCCCACACCTGCAGCACCCAGGGTCTCACCTTGCCCAGGAAGTGCTTGCGGTAGATCTTGGCCGTGTGGTTGCCCTCCAGCTTTGCCCGGGTGCAGGGTACCGGGGTGGGGGGCGAGTCAGGGGCCCCGCTCAGCTGGTGGTTGGTGCCCTCAATCCAGTAACCCCCGAACTGCGGCAGGAGGATGAGGGGGAACGGCCCCTCCCGGCCCAGCACCTGCGCCCACAGCCACGGTGGGTGCTTTGGGCACCCCCAGCCAGCAGCCCCCGGCCCGCACAGCCCTCTGCTCTACCTCGTGCACGCTGGGGTAGGGGATGTAGTCCTCCTCCGTCTGCAAGACAAGGGAGCGGTGACGGCCACCGTGGGCGGTGGCGTAGGTGATGCCCATGGTGGCACCCCAGGGCGCGGGTTGCGTGCCCCCCACGCCAACAACACCTACCTTGAGTGGTGGGGGGATGGCATGGCGCTGCTGGGCCATCCTGCTGCCCTGGGGAGAGAGGGGCTCTGGGTGCCTGTCTCCCCGCCTTGGGGTGGGCATCCTCGGGTGGGGGGCACCCACGGGTGCTTACCTCGGGGTTGGGAGGCGCTGCTGGCTGGAGACGCGTCCTAGGTGGTGTGAGGGCGTCCAGGGGGGCCCATGGCGCTTCCTGGGGAGAGGAGAGCTCCCCCGCAGCCCCTCTCCGGGACGCCGGGCCAGCAGCCTCACCCCTGGAGCCAGCTGATGGCAGCGAGCCAAGTGCCACCCTGCGGGTGCCGGGGCCAGCGGGGCGGGAGCGGCGGGGCGAGGTCACTGCGAGGGGACCGCGGGGACCCCCGGAGCCCCCGCAGCCCCACCCCCCCCC